TGAGGAGTAAAATATCCCTCTACCCTTCTAGGTCTTTATGGCTAGAAAATGATTAAATGGACAAAAGACAGCAGGAGAAAAGACCAGTTTAACTTCTTATGCAGGTAGGGGCCATATGAATCTGAGACCTGTGCTGTGAACAGAGAACATGCTTAAAAATTTTTAGACAAAAAATTTCTTATAATTTTGGGTGTGAATGTTAATTTCATGAGCCAAGCTGTGCTTATTTATACTGGAGAAGGAACCCAGAAATCTTTGTAGCAGTAAGATGTTTCCTTCCTGCCCAGTGCACTACTTCACATTGCCTACTTTTGGGAGAAAGGGAGGGTGATCAGAAAAATTCTTCCCTCAGCTTTTCTCAAGCAACTTTAATTAGTCAGTGTGTTACCTGTGCACATTTTGGAGCGGCCTGCTCTGAGCCCCCACAAAACCAAGGTCCAGTTTTTCCCATTGGACAGTTTCTTAAACTTCGTAGCATGAGTACAAAGGTTTTAAAACTTTTCATAGTCTGGAAAGAGAAACCCAAACATAGAAATGTAAAAAAAAGGTTTATTGAAAGAGTTGATCCAGTTTGAGAGTACTACTTTATTTGCAATTTGGAAAGACAATTTTAATTCAAAAAGTGAGGAATTACAGACTGCTGTTTTGGACATATTGTCAAGTTTCCTTTTTTTTGTAATATACGTTTATTAATTAAGGAACCAAGAAAAGCTCAGATAATAATTAATGGAATATCAAACCAAAAAATAGAAAAAATGAAGATTAGCACTGACATCAATAGAAATCAACCTGTCATTGAGAAGTGAATTGCAACATTATTTTTTTCAAATCATGCCAACTGTACGTCTTTAAAAAGAAAAGAGAAAAGAGAAATTTTGAATAGAAGTAATGGATTGCCTCTTGGGTTGTTTAATAATTTAGTTAATGAAGAGGAGTGAATCATACGAACATATTGGGAAAAATTTTAAATTTTTGGCTGTTTGAGATAAAATACTGAAATTAATGAAGATATTGTAAAACTTATAATACACTACAAACTCATTAATATAATCAATTCAAGGGGTATTTAAGACTATTTACTATACAAAAACTTGAATTCCTGGGAAGCCTAGTTTATTTGTATAAAATAAATTTGATAAAGAGTTTCCAAATTTGACAATAATCTTAAAAGCTGTACATTGCAACATGACCAATAAATAAGAAGTGGAAGACAATTTTCAAATAGTCATGGTAAAGAATGTCATTTCTTCCTTTTATTTCCATAGGAAATGATACTGTAGATTATTGATTTCATACAGATCAAGAGCTGCTCAGAGTATGGAAAAATAAAAAATCAGTATTATGAAAGTCAGGCAGTAACTAATAAAAACTTTCCTTTAATTAAGTTTTTTATGGCAATTATATGATTGCTGCAATTTTTTTAATTTTAAGTAAATCTATACTCTCATATAAAATTTCCTACTCTTTTCCCTAGAGAGGCACCTTAAATTGTACACTTCAGATTATACATTCTGGCACCTGTGTTTGATCTGAAATATGTTGTGAGATAAATACACCTCTTTTTTTTTGCCCAGGTGAAGGAAGTGCTGTGCACATGCAGATTGTGGCTTGGACAAGAGTGTTTACATCTCTTGGGATCTTCACTTTGGGTCCAGTGAGCTGGCAGAAAACCTCCAGCAGTGTCATTAGCAGCCTGGGGCAAGAGCTTTTAGTTCTCTAAGCAATGCTTTGAAATGTAATCCAAAATCTTGTCTTGTTAGAAGTTGCTTTCTATGTTGCCTAAGAGTTAGGAAGTGCTTATTGGTAACATGGAGAAATGGTGTTTTGAATTTCATGAATCTTGGTTGCGCCTTGAAACAGTTTTGGAAGTTTTGTGGCCTTTAGAGGACAAGGCTGCTGGTGAGAATGCAAGGCAGTGACAGGAAGTCTGAGTAATGGAAGCTCAATTGTCCATTGAATGGACAATGGACAATGACTACCATGGGGAAGAACTATATCACTTTGCACTTCCCACTGGCCCTAGAATTAGCCATTAGAGAGTCAGCAAGACTGCTTGGGGAAGTGGTTTCTAAGAGTCATTTTAAAAACTTAATATTTATCGAGTCTCACCGCATATCTGGAATTGTATTCACCAAGTGGTGGAAATAAATGGATAATCTAGATGCTAGTCTGCCTCCTTAAATGGTTAAACAACTAATTGGGAAGAGAGGAGATATACATAAAAATGTAACTTTAAGCTGAACCTTATAAAATCACCTTTATGATATAGATCAATAATGTTTAGTTCGCAGGATTGGATACCAGTAGTTCCCTAAGGTTCAATGTAAATAGCTTACAAAAGTATTATTTTCCTTTTGGCTAGGGCTTCATAAACAGGACCTGTTGGGTGTAGCTTATCTGGTACCAAGATCACACAAATTAGCAGCATCCCTCCGGCATTTGATAACTAATCACATAAATTCCTCTACAGTCTTAAAACTTGTACATTGCAACATGACCAATAAGTAAGAAGTTTTCTAAATGATCAAAAAATGGAAAACAATTTTCAAATAGTCATGGTAAGGAATTCATTTCTTCCTTTTATTTCCATATGCAGAGGGCAGCAGTCAGGGAGGGGGAGGTGGTTTGGAGAGACCAGACCTCATTTCAAAATCCTTGAAATGGTTCCAGAAATCAACTCAGGATAGATTGTCTGCAGAGTATCCTGAGAGGGGGTGGGACTTGAATTAGAAACAAAGGTAGGGTGGACATAATTAGGGGAGCAGGGCCTAAGAAATTATTCTTCTCTCTACACTGGCAGAAGTGAACAGGCTGGAGTGGAACCGCTGGGTCCAGGAAGGGAGGAAAAAAAACAGAAGAGAGTGGTTTAATTTTGGTGCAGGGGGATGGCGATGGGATGGTGGGCTCTGAGGCTAAATAAAAATGGACAACAAGCCAGTAGATGAAAGGTGAGCCCTTGCGTGAACTTGGATCTTATTCTACAGGCAATGGGCATTCCTGGAAAAGAGTGTTTCTGGAAAGCTGCATGAGGCCTTTGCTCTCTGCAGCCTCTTCTCCTGAAATCTGTTATGACAACTGGAAATCTGCACTAAGAGGGGCTTGGGTGAGCCGTTGTGTCCCCAGGAGCACAGCAGCTGTGAGTGGGCCTGCAGCTCTCCATGTAGGTGGAAGATCGCCCCTATCCTGTCTTAGAAAAATAGCAGTGCCGTGACTGAGAAAACATGATTCGCATGTGGACATGTTGTATTTTCATGTCCTGCTTATGTGTTCGGCTGTGCCTTAAAATCTTAGATTCCATGATGAAACCTCACAAAACCCAGGGCAAGAGAAAGAACTAGGTCAGATGTATTGTTGAGTGGTGCCTGGTCTATGCATCTGATGTGTACGCGTAGACCCAAGCCCTGAGCTGCCAGGTCCCCGCTGCTGCAGGGCTGTTTCCACATGTTTAGGTGTTGTGAACAGCTCCTGAGAGAACCACTGAGAAAATGCTCCACCCCTGCAATATTCTGGATATTTGAAAAGACAGTGGGTCCAAATAAAAATGGTGACTGCATAAGGATGTTAATATTACAAACAAACAATACAGGTGGTGATAACTGCTCTTAAAATACCGAACAGCTCAAGAGGGAGAGGAGTCAGTGGATGTTTGCCTTTTACCAGAGGGTGGGTTTGTAAATGTCATGAACTCTAGTTTCATTTAGGGATTATTCACTTGCCTCATTCTCGTCTCTCCTCAAGGTCTTTTTTTTTTTTTTTTAAGAAAGATTTATTTATGCATACAAGAGCTGGGGGATAGGCCAGAGATTCGGGGGGTAAGAGGATTCACCAGAGACAGAGTGGGGAGCAGAACAGGCAGACTGACTGAAATATACCGCTGAGGGGAGCAGCGGGCGAGACAGGAGAGGTCTGCCTTGCCATGTGGGTTGCTCCCTGGCCGGCTGGGAATCGAACTTGTGCTGCAGAGGCTGCAGATTGCTTTATAGTGTGGTGCTTAACCCCTTGCACCACCAGGGAGGCCCTCTCCTCGAGATCTTTAAATAACAAGATTTCCTTCAATAACCAAAAAATAAAATAAAATAAAATAAAAAAAAACCAATTCCCCAATTCCTCAACCCTTCACCAGCAGCCAGCAGAACATTCCTGTAATCTAATCTGTGCTCTCCACTTTAGCCCTGAATTACATTCACCTTGCTCTTTTCCCAGCAGTTTCAGGTGCTCAGAACAGACCTTAAGCTCCTTGAAGGCAAGAACATGGCTTTAAACTGCGCCCAGCACACGGATGCTGGTCGGAAGCAAAAGCTGCTTAATGGGAAATAAAGCAAAGGTCTTGCATTTGAAACTGCAGCTCCGCCTTCGAGATGCTTTTTGCAGCCCAGCGCGGCCCCCCACCACCCCCAAAGCAGCCCCTCCTCTCTGCTCTTCCCCACTGCGGCCAGCAGGAGGCGCCCCGGACTCGGGTTAAGTCTTTCTCCCCTTTCCTACCCCACTTCCCCCAGCTCATGACGTGGGAAGCTGCCTCCGCCGGAGTCTTAGCAATAGGAGTGAGGGGTGAAGGGGTTTGGGGGTGGGGTGGGGTGGGGGGTGTGGAGGAAGAGGACGCGCGCGCACACACACCCTGGGAACAGAAGCATCTTCCCTGGCTTCGTGGGTTTCTCCTCCCACCAGAGCCAGGGTGTGAGAGGTAGGTGTGTGCGCGCGTGTGTGTGCGCGCGTGTGGCACGTTCTTGAGTGTGAGACCCATATGCAGTCCAGGCAACCTGTGATCTCCCGCCCTCCCCCCGTCCCCGGTGATTAATACCCATTTTTCTTACTCTCCCCCTCGGCGCCCCCCTCTCCCGCCGCCTGCGGTTGACTTGCACCGCCTGCCCCCGCCCGCTCCCCTCCCCCGGCCGCGAGCATCACCAACTGGAATCTGGGTTTCTGCCTCTCCACCCCCACCCCCTTTTTGAGAAAGGAAGGTCCCCCCACCCCCTTTCAAAATCCACTTCCTTCGGCTTTTTCACCTCTAGGAAATCTCGGGGCTGTGCTCTATCGCAAGTGCACGTCAGGGTGCTGCTGGATCACCCCACAACCCCGAAGTGCTGGCGTCCGAATGCATTTTCTTTCCCGTTGCTACAAGAGTCGTGAACTTCAAACCCCCCATCCGCCGAGACGGATTATTAATCCTGCTTTGCAGGAAGGGAAAACCCTCAATCCGCGGCCACCGGCCACCCCTCTCCGGAGCCTGCAATCGCTGGGGCGCTCGAAGTCGGTAGGTAAATATTCGCTTTGGAGCCTCTAGTCTCAATTTGGGGTGTGGGGGCTGTCAGGCCGATAAAGGGGCGAAGCAGTGGAACCGTTAACCAACGTGGTCATGAGGCAAAGCTCTTAAATCCCGCAGAAGCCGGCAGTTGCTAATTTGGAGGTGGCTTTTTTTTTTATTTTTTTAAGGTTCTTGAGGGTGGAAGGGGTAGGGCTGGCTGGTCCTTTTTGGAGGGTCTAACCCCCCGGCGGAGCGGAGAGGCTGGGCATCGGTGTCCCCTGCTGGAGCCACGCGCCGCGACCCCCTGTCCGCTCGACACGTTGCAGGTGAAGCCCGGTGCGCTGCACATCAGCGCGGCGGCGGCGTGAGTGTGCGCGGGGGTGAGTGTGCGCGGGGGTGAGTGTGAGTGCGCGCGCGGGGGCGCGTGCGCGCCGGGGGCGTGTGTGTGCGCGCGCGTGCCAGTGTGCCCCTTCCAAGAAATGCCCAGTGTGCACCCCGTGCACCCCCAGAACCCGTTCAGCACGAGCCCGGGGTGGGGGGAGGCGCTGCTGCTGCTGGAGGCCATGAGGAGAGCGAGACAGACGTGTCAGCAGCAATGCAGATGGGGCTGGGGGCCGCACTTGCTGGCGAGTTAAGTGGGGATGGTGCTCCTGCGCGTGTGTGAGTGTGTGCTGCTCGAGGGGGCCGCTCTCCCTCGCTCCCTTATTCCTTCCTACTTCCCTCCTTCGCCTGCTCGCTCCCTCCCTCCTCTCCATTCAGGTTGGCTTTGCCACCTCTCATCCGCGCCGTCCCAGGAATGGTAGAGCCAGACCTTTGCTGAATTATTTATAGATTGGTGCCAGCTGTTTTCAATTCCTCTCATGTGCACTCTGTGGGAAATGCAGGGTTTCCTCCCCCGTTTCCTTAAAACGAATTGATATCTTTTTCGGAATGCATTTTTCTCACCCTCAGGGGCCACTGGAATCCAACCCTGACCGCCTCTTTTTCCCCCTTAGGAAGGGGACGCTTTGGGAATGACCACGCTCCACGGAGGGACAGAGCCGGCCCCCAGCTTCTCTGCACAGAGTCTTCTCCAGTAAAGCTCCCAAAATCAAAAACCTTCATTGCCAGAAGAAGCATTTAAAAAAAATAGTCCAGCCAGAACCCTCACATGCAAACGGAATAATTACTCTGGATTCTGCATTGTGAGCTGCTCTCCATATCCCGAATTACCTTTGAATCCAGTCTTTTTTTTTTTTTTTCTTTGAATTTGCATCTCTTCAAGACACAAGATTAAAACCCAATTCACGTTAAATTGGATTTTAAATTATCTTCCTTTCATTTATCCTTCATTTTTCTCATGTGGATATGCAAGCGAGAAGAGAAGACTGGACATTCTCAACATGCTTACTCCCTTAATCTGTGCGTCTAGAGGTTTGGCTTCTACAAACCAAGGTAGGGCGATTTCTATTTTATTTTCTTCTCACCTGGGCTAGGGATTCCTTGTTTATTTCTCTTAAGTCCCTCAAGTGGATTTTGGGGAAGGAGAGCTAACAAGGTAGCAAAATAATGGTGTTTTGGGGGAAAAGCCTTCTTACAAAGGGGGCCATCTCCCTTGGTATTTCCTTCCTCATCAAACAGGTTTTGGGTTTTTGAGGCAGTGAGTGTGGCTATATGGAGGGACAGAAGATGTGGGCAGGCATAAGGGGTGGATGTATGTAGATACAGCCGGAGACCTGTATGATTTTTGAGTTAAATAGCATTGGATTCACCTAGGGCTAAATCTCTGATTTTTATGGGAATCTAGAAATCTTTTTTTTTTTTTTTTTTAAAGGCTGGCTTATCCCCATTGCTACTTCCATGCCTCTCTCTAGCTCCTGTACCCACCTTCCTAGGCATCCTTTCTGTGCCCTTTAAACATTAAAAATAATAATGGAGCTCACTCTGATGGTTGCCTTGAAGTCCACTTGCTGTCTAAAGGTTGACACGGGGCCCAGAGCTCCCGGGAGGCCTACTGCAGAGGGAGAAGTCTGCCTGGGGGATCAGGCTGGTCTTAGAACACCTGGAATTGAAGATTGCTGCAGGTTAAGAGCACTTCGATTTTAAGCTTAGAGAGAAGGAATTCTGTCAGTATTCTGCTTTTAATTTGTATTTTTTCCCGTGTGCTATTATTTTTGAGCTGTAAATTTCTCCTTCTGTCTACACATCTATTTATACCCACACATCCTCCAAGCAAACTGTTACTTCCACACTCTTGCAAAATGGCTATCTTGCAGAGTTCTAAAATGCTGTGCATGTGGAAGGGGTGCAGAATTCGACACGTGAGTCTTTGTGTTAAACAAAGAGATGTGCCGCTTGCATGTGTTAGTCTTGTACACTCAAAATAGAATGAATATTTCCCTTTTCCCTTTCTCATGAATTTTTACAATATGTGAAATGTGGTTGGGCAGTCTTTTCATATACTTGAAGAGAAAATAGCTGGAAAAATGGAAAAGACCCAGCTAAGTGACTCTAGCTAGTCACTCATGCAATCCAAGACAACTCCTGAGGAGGTCAGAACCTCCACGGGCTGGAGGGCCATGGTGGGGAGCTAGCTGCTGCTCTCAAGGTCCACTGACCACACAGCTCCAAACTCTGAGGTGCCCCAAATGCAGAAATCAGGTAGAAATCAAGGTCTTCAAAGGAATGTAGCAGAATCATTAGCATCTGTTGTCCTCCTGAAGTGTTCTCCCTCCCACATCTTTCTCTGCTGGTGTTTTTGTAACAATACTTTGAGACAATCCAAAATACTCAAAATGCATGGGGGTGGGGGGCAGTATCAGAAGGTCCTTATCACTCAATGTGACTGTAGAAGAGAGTTCTTCGTTGCCCAGAGAGGATGGCTCTAATCCAAATTCACCTCTCCCCTCCCCCAAGTATCATTCTATGAGTGTTTATTGCCTGAACACTAAACACTCATCTGTAGCCAGAGTGTCATCAGAGAGATGGGTGGGCTCTCGCTCTGAACCGTGTTCTCACCAGGTCTGCAATGAGTTGAGGTTACTGGTGTGTGCTCACCTGAGAGACACCTGAGCTGATTCTCCACCTGCTTCTACTCCTTCAAGTGGGAGGATGAACTCTTCATCTCTCTTCAAAATAGAACAGAGGCATGGGTGAGTGAGGCAGCTCCATGCACCATGGTTTCATACCACAGATGAGAAGGCGAGGTGGGCATCCACAGGGCACATGCCCCCGTGTGCATTCCTGGTGCCTCCAATCATGCTCTATACCTGATAGGTCCTTTGTCTTGTTTATTGGTGACCACGATGAACAGGAGACCTTTTGACTGTGACCTTCGCTTTGAATGCAAATGAAATCAAGTCAGCTTCCAGGCTATCATCTGTTGACCCTAAGACCAGACAAGGGATAAGCGGTTAAGAGGGAAGGGTGCTGAGGAGGAGGAGGAAGAGGAGGTGGGAAAGATTCAGAGAAAAAAAAAGAGAGGAATTCCAACTGGAAGGGGCTTGTTAGGATTCTGGGAGGAGTCGCCACAGGTGGTCTGTGCCTTTTCCACATGCAAAACCATTTTGGGGACCCTAGTATGGAGGTCGATGTTCCCTGAGGAACAGACTCCGTCAGCTGTGACTCAGTGGTGTTCTGGACCGTCTCAGGGCCTCTGTTCTCTCCCCTTTTCCCCCTCACAGTACAAAGAGCCGACTGGGTTCTATTTTGTCTTCTCGCCTTCTGGCACCTCCATTGCATGTGGGAAAGAAATGTGGCTCCTAGTGGGAGGAAGAACACATTGAATTTCCATCAAAGAGCCTCCATGATGTGCAATTAAGAAAAAATATCAGTGTCAGTAGAGACTTCCCAGGAAAGCACCCCAGGCTAAGCAGGTTACGTTGGTGGTTCCAGGGAAGCAGGACCACTTGCTTGTCTGCCATCTCTGTGTTTTTGGGTGGGGCGAAACATGATGGCTCCGTGAACACAGAGTAACATGGCAGCTTAGAGATCCATGTTACCATGCAAAGAGAGGAGCAGGGTTTGCCACTGGATTGTCTCCTGTCTTCCCTCCATAGGCTCCATCCCTAGGAAGCCTGCCTGTCTGAAGAGTCTCGCTTTGCCACTGTATGTGTTTAATTGATGGCAGGGGTAGGTGCAGCAAAGAGAATAAGGAAGGAGGCGAATTGACAAAAAAGGAGGAGGGAGAAAAAAAAAATTCCTCTAGTCACTACTTTGCACACCCAATGCCTTTCTTTTAGGCTGAGTGAGAAGAGCGACTTCCTCTGGTGAAGGGTGGAATAGCAGGTTGCTTGATCTTGGGTTCCTGCTCAGCTCTGAAGATGGCTTCAGAACCTGGAGCATCTTCCTGGACCTTCAAGTCCATGCACCCAGCCCTATGTGGGGTGGAGCAGGGGACACCGGAGGCTGACCCATGGACTAAAATTGGTTGATGGGATGCCTGGCACTTAACAGGGTGAAGCAGGACGGAGCTGACTCAGCCCTTGGCCACCTCATCGTCACCTTGTCAAAACTTCCTTCTCCTCCAGGAATTTGATGAACCTAGGATGCAGTTTTTTTTTAACCCCTGTTTTCTGGTTCAAAAATGTGAAAATGAAAGTGGCATGTCCACTACTATTAACAGGTCAAAGCAAAAACTTAGTTAACATGTATGGATTGTGAACTATAGAACGTGATTGGAGAAAGGACATGTTTGGTGTGAGGAAACATAGTAAAATAATCAGCCAGTAGATGGTGGGGGGAGAACCCAGGGTGGAACTCAACCACTCTCAAGGCTGGAGAAGTGTTGCTGTTAGCAAGAGAGGTCTCTCCTTGATAATGACCACTGGGGCAGACCAAACAACTGATCTCATGTTAGTTGTTGGGGTTAGGAGTGGATAAGCTGGATAAACAAGTTCCTTTTCCCCCACTCCCATTCTACACCCTCCTTAGGAATTCTAGAATTTTCTTCCTTTCAGTAAACCACTTTTCAGTCATGCTAGGCTACTGTGCATACAGCGGGATACTAGCGTCATCTCTCTCTGTAAGTAAATATAGATCAAGAGTTACCAGTCTAATGAATTGTTCACATTTATTAAAGTGCATCCCCTCTATGCAACCACAAGAAGTCTCCAGGGAGAGTAGATTAGCGGTTGAATTGATACGATCTTTCAGAAGGCTGCTGAAGATAGAACAGAATGTAGTTGGGCTGAGGAGCAGCCCTAACTCAGAGAAGGTGGGTTTCTGTGATTCAGCTGTGGATGTGGGCTGTGGCACGTCTGTGGTCCTCCCACAAGACCCGCCATGTGGATGTGCTCTAGGCATGTTGGGAGCCCAGGGAGATGTGTGCAGGCACCCTTGGTTGGGTCCTTGCAGCTTTCTGACTTCCTTATTTGTGTCTTCACTTCTAGTGCTTTCAGCACATGTGGGCGGAGAAGGGACCTAGGGTCTGTGTTGACCCCTAGTTGACATTCTCATGACTTCCCCATGCAGGGCAATTGTTCTGCTTTCTGTGTTTCACCAGCTTGTTCAGGATTCTTACTATACTTTATCCTGATTTTATTTGTATGCCTTGTTTCCATAAGCAATTCGTGAGCTTCTCAAGGGCAGGGAGGAATGTTTTATTCATTTTGGAGTCTTTGTGTTTAGCATGATGACCGGCACCTAATAGAGACCCTCAAAAAAAAAAAAAAATTTAGGTGATGAATGGAGGGAGGAAGTGAACTATTAGTCAATGATGCTATTTGTTGTGGTGGTGAGTATGGGAGTGGCTGTGTTAGGTGAGATGAAGACTATCCAGGTTCTCTGACACTTTGGAAAGCATCCACTTTGGGTTTCCCATTTAACAGAGAAAGTCGCTGAAGGTACAGCGACAGAAAGAGTGATTTACTTAAAGTTGTGTGGCTTAGTGCTGAAGTTTCGTGCACCAAACCATTGATGAGAGTGCGGTGAGGAGGTTATCTGTGGATTTCCGATGTCTTTATCGGCCCTTCTCAAACTTTACTGTCTGTGGAAATGACCTGGTGATCTTATTAAAATGCACCTTCTGATTCAGTAAGTCTGGCGTGGGGCTGAGAGTCTGCATTTCTCTCTCTCAGGTGATCAGCTGTGCTCCGCCATGCTTCATGGTTCTACACACTTTTGGACCTAGTTACTTATCATGGCCAACACTGGCAGTTCCATATAGAGACTCTACTTTGGAGAATGCCAGTATTTCTGCTTTGTTCTGAAAAAGAAAGAAAGAAACATCTGAGAGGAGCCCATGCATTTTAGCTCACCCATCTTGTCCTCCTTACTCTCTCAGTGAGAGGATCCTTTGCCTCTTCCCTCGGTTCCCTTCCCCTCCGTGCCTCTCACTCTGGTCTTTCTTATGATTGACTTGTCTCTTTCTTTTCATGTTCTCCTACTACTGGGGTTTTCTAGTCACATGTTTATTTTTATTTTTTTATTTGTTTTAGTTTCTTTTCTTTCACTCT